AATCTGTCCAAGCTGAGGAAAATCCCCCCCTTTCGAGATTTGTCATCGGAACAAGGGCCGCCATTGGAAGATTTTCCCTCTTTTTTTGTTTTGGTGACAAACCAAACTTTTCAGTTTTTTCTTTCTTCAGTCCAAATTTGCTCTAACCACTGGGGATAAATGCAGTTTAATGAACAGCTGGATTCATATGGTAAGCGTCTGCACTTTGTGTTGTAGAGTCAAGAGGAGTCTGGCCATCACCTGCTGTTGGCTGAGTGAGTTAAATTGGGCTTCATGGTGGTACTTTGTTTGATCGGTACTGTTGATGAGTTGGGTGGAAATAACCCTGAGGTCCCACCACCCTGAATGGGAGACTCTCGGCAGGGTTTGCTCTAACCACTGGGGATAAATGCAGTTTACCGAACAGCTGGATTCATATGGTAAGCGTCTGCACTTTGTATTGTACAGAGTCTTCCGGTCTGGGCAGCACCTGCTGTTGGCGGAGTGAGCCATATGGGGCTTTATGGCAGTACTTTGTTTGATCGGTACTGCTGATGAGTTGGTTAGAAGCAATCCTCTCCTGCCAACTCCAGTTAAAACATTAAGTGACCTGAACAACAGGCCTTGTTCACATGTTCCTCTGGGATGAGGAGGAACCAATCACATAGCAACATATCACAGAAAGCAGCTGGTGTCCTGGGCCAGGGTCTTTACTGAGAGGTGCGACTGTAACTCCAGTGGGCAAGCGACTTAGAACAACAGTGCCCTGTAAATGTCACCATTGTGACACCAATGAAACAGACACAGATAACAAAATGTAACAATGTAACAACGTATTGTGGCTATACAAAGAGATTTATACATACACTATATTGACAAAAGTATTGGGACGCCCTTCCAAATCATGTGATTCAGGTGTTCCAATCCCCTCCATGGCCCCCGGTGTATAGGATGAGGCACCTCGGCATGCAGACGCTTCTACAGACATTGGTGAGAGAACAGGTCGCTCTCAGGAGCTCAGTGACGACAAGCGTGGTGCCGTGATAGGTTGTCACCTGTGCAATAAGTCCGTCCGTGACATTTCCCGGCTACTAAATATTCCGCCGCGGTCACCTGTTACTGGGATTATAATAAAGTGGAAGCAACTGGGAACAACAGCAACTCAGCCAGGAAGTGGTCGGCCACGTCACATGACAGAGCGGGGTCAGCGCATGGTGAAGCGCACAGTTATATTTTGCACATTTCGGAATATTGAGAACTCATGTTTTCTCTTTTTTCGCGAAAATAAAGCCCATTTCGATGAGCCTGACATGTATTTTGGCAAGTAGACGCACATTCCAAGCATGATTTGCCTCAATTAGTTGCAATTAGCTGCAGATCTACTATCTATATCAATAGCTGCATCAATATCAACGAAGACTTGGCAAGTTAATCTCAGTTTCCGAAGCCATTCTGTAAAAAAAAAAAAAAAAGGACTCAATAGCCCTCTAAATCTGCCAAATTATTTGTAATGTGTGTGCTGCTGCTGAGCAGACTACAGCTCCCATGACCTACTGAGCCAGTAGCTGTGTGCTGAGCCAGCACAAGAAGTGACAAAGAACGAGGACAAGGGGGGGTGGGTCCCTTTCTCCCACTGCATCTGCACGTCTCGCTGTGGTCCCTATGAGCACAGCTGACGGGAATGGTGACAACACTGATCTGATTTCAGAAGCAGTGGGCTGGTGTTGTCACCCCCATCATAGAAATTCGAATAATCTGGAGCTGGGAAAACTAAAGGCATACTGAGAGTACACCTAAAAAGCTGCACAACGTCTAAGATATTTGGGTTCACTCAAACTGTCCTCTTCACTCCTCCCCAGACCTTCTGCTCTCTTGTCAACTCCCCCTAATGTTCACCTCCAGGATTCTCCGGAGTCTTTCCAATAGTCCGGAGAATATACCCTACCCCAATCTGTACAGTTATATGCTACTCTGCCTGCCACTAGGTGATCCAGAGAGAAAGTGGACTCGCAGTTACGCTCCTCTGCTCGGTGGGCGGGTGCAATAACCAGCCTGCTATTGGCTTTTGCAATTTGAAATAGACGGGGCGCAATGGGGGTGGTGAATAGTCAAGGCTGCGCCCTAGGTAGCAGTGCGCCCTAGGCGGCTGTCTAGTTTGCCCAGTGGCAGCACCGGCCCTGTTCCTACCAAGACCTGCTGCTCTCTAGCTTCCACGTCAACCCCTCGCATGCTGTCCTCCAGGACTTCTCCAGAGCCTCTCCCATCCTGTGGAACTCCCTACCCCAATCTGTCTGTCTATTTCCTACTCTGTGCGTCATTAGGCGATTCCCTGAATTCTCATATCTTCAGGGAAGCGTATCCCATAATATTCAAAAATAACATCCGACGCATAATTATATATCCCATTTCTATGGACCCACATCCCAATCCATGATATAATGGCAACTGGTGGTCTGTGAATGCTTGGTGCCAAGTTTGCCCCCCCCAGCCCATGCAAAACGGTCACTGACACCCCCCCCCCTCTCCCGGCCCTGGGGCATTCTACACATCACAAAGGGGAGGGGAGTGTCTTACCACAATTGATTGGGCCAGGAGGGGAGCATGTCATTGACAGCTTTGGGTGAACTCAGGCAGACTTGGTTCACACCACGCCCCCCCCGGCACACCACTAATTACAACTTCTTTATGCCAAAAAAGCCGGGACCTTCAAGATACCTTTAAAAGTTCCCACTCATACGGCCGTTCTATTTTTAAAATGCACGCGAGTTAAAACTCAATAAAAATCACAAAACACCTCAAAAAGTGCCTAAAAAAAACCACATCTGAAAAAAACGTGGGCCGGTTGGCACATTTTTAAAAAGGGAATAAAAAACACACACGGGCACTTACAACGTGAGAATAAATAAAGATTTAAAATTTAGAAACATGGGGAAAAAAAAGCACTTCAAATTAGCACCTTTTGAACAGATGAATACGACACATGTGAGTACTGAGCGCTTGAAAATAAATAAGGATTTAAAGTTGGGAAACTTGGGGGGGGGGGGAAACATTTGCAAATTAAAAGGAGAACTATGAGGTTAGGGCTTTTCCCCATAGTTCTCCCTCAGGGTCATGGGAAGACACAAACTAGCGTCCTCCCGTCACCCTAAGCTCAGTATATAGGGAGCTACAGCTCGCGGTATACGGAGACCGCCGCCGCCGCGGGGACAGATCCCGACATTACTGTCTGGATCCACCCAGCTGCGTGATTGACAGCTGGCTCTGCCTATCTAGAGGCAGAGCCAGCTGTACCCGCCCCCTCCCCCGTCCGTTCCGTCAGTCAGCGCTGGAGGATCGGAGCAGGGAGTGGGGAATCCCTGCAGGGAGTCGTGGCTCTCTGCAGTGACAGGATCGAGAAGTGAGCGAGCGCCGGTATGTGTTCTCTCACCTCCCGATCTACTGAGCCGACCTGTGACAGTTTAATTGTCGCACGTCGGCTCAAACTATGAGGAGGAGTGAAAATCACTCGCCTCGTAGTTCTCCTTTAACACAATTTGTAGAAGGGAATACTGCGCATGTGAGTTCTTAGCACCGGAAAGTTAATAATGATTTAAAATTGGGAAACTTTGAAAAAAAATTTTTGCAAATTGACACAATTTGTGCAAGGGAATGTGTACTTCGCACCATGGAAATGTTTTGTTTTTTTTTGCAAATTAACATAATTGGTAGAAGGGAATACAGCATGTGTGTGTGGGTACTTAGCACCTGAAAACAGATAAGGATTTAAAACTGGGAAACTTGGGGGGAAAAAATTTGCAAATGAACACAATTTGCACGAGCACATGCGAGTACTTAGCACCGGGAAATAAATAAGGATTTAAAACTGGGAAACTTGGATAACATTTTTGCAAATGAACACAATTTGTAGAAGGGAATACAACACACTTGGGTACTTAGAACTGCAAAATAAGGATTTAAAATTGGGAAACTTGCAAAAAAAAAATTGCAAAATGACCACAATTTCTGCAAGAGAATACAACACGTGTGTGTACTTAGCTCCAGAAAACAAAAAAAGGATATCAAGTTGTGAAAGTAGTGGGAAAAAATTGCAAATTAACACAATGTCTGCAAGGGAATACAACACGGGTGTGTACTTAGCACCAGAAAACTAACAAATTTGCAAATCGATATAATTGGTAGAAGGGAATACAGCACGTGTGGGTACTTTGCACCGGAAAATAAATAAGGTTTTTAACATTGGGGAAACTTGGAAAAAAAATTTGGCCAAATTAACACAATTTGCACAAGAGAATACAGCACATGTGAGTCCTTAGCACCGGAAAATAAATAAGGATTTTATCATTGGGAAACTTGGAAGAAAATTTGGGCAAATTAACACAATTTGCACAAGAGAATACAGCACATGTGAGTCCTTAGCACCGGGAAATAAACAAAACATGTGCAAATTAAACATAATTGGTAGAAGGGAATACACCACATGTGAGGACTTTGCACCGGAAAATAAATAAGGATTTTATAATTGGGAAACTTGGAAAAAAAATTTGGCCAAATTAACACAATTTGCCGAAGGGAATACAGCGCACTTGGGGAATTAGCACTGGAAAATAAATAATAATTTAAGAATTTATAGTTGTGAAACTTGCAAAAAAAAACCACTACAAATTAGCACATTTTGTACAAGGGAATGCAACGCAGGCGAAAACTTAGCACCAGAAAATAAATAAGGATTTAAAGAAAATTTGCAAGTTAACATAATTGGTAGAAGGGAGTGCAACACATGTGAGGACTTAGCACCGGAGAATAAATAAAGATTTAAAGAAAATTTGCAATTTAACATAATTGGTAGAAGGGAATGCAACACATGTGAGGACTTAGCACCGGAGAATAAATAAGGATTTAAAATTGGGAAATTTGGAACAATTTTTTTGCAAATTAACACAATTTGCAGAAGGGAATACAGCACACTTGGGTACTTAGCACTGAGAAATAAGAAAATAAGACAAAAACAACCGTTGCCTTACCTTTGTACGCCAAGTAGACACGGGCAGGCCGGGCAGTCCATGATCTCACAGGGAAATGAAGAAGCAGCAGGAGTAGAGAGGGCAAAGCCAATATCTGCATGGTATCGCTACCCTAGACGCAGGGAAATAAAAGGGATAAGACAGTGATCAAACATTGGCATTCCCACGGTAACCTCATTACTGCTCACAATGGAGGCACACATCCCATACCACAGAGACACGACTACGAGGCTACACACACACACACCAGTTCAGCTTTCACAGCAGAGATTTACAGAAAAGATCGACCACGGCTGACTCACAGCAGAGGGAAAAAAAAACAAAAAGTTTTATAGGAGTGAAGTTTATGAAACAAATTTGTCTCCGGCTGAACTGGGTCTTTGATCTAAATCAGTTATGTCAACGTTGGGACGTACCAGGAAATCTCCCGCATCCCTTTTCTCGGTAAAAAGGAAAAATGATGTGACTATTAGTCAAAGTGATAAAAAAAAAAAAGCAAATCGCAT